CTGATACCCAAAGAGGATATACCTTTTTAGGAGCTAGCCAAGGTCCTGAATCCTATTCTCTACCCTTTCCCAGAGTGAATTCACAGCTTTAACAACACAAAGACCACCAACTGCTACTGCACTAAATGCCTATTAATGGTGTTAGCATTCTCTAAACTCAGCAATCCCAAGTCAGCCACACACTCTGTTCCATCGGTTTTGTGCAAGATTGCTAGAGTGAAAATGAAACAAACATTTCCTAACCAGGATATTTTTGCATATGTGCTCATACACATATGGATAGTTTTTGGGTTTCTGTTAACACCAGCGCTGTTGCCTCTGGGGACTAAAAGAGTTGAATAGCAGAAAGAAAGAAAATGGAAACCATGCCTCAGAGAGCCACCTAGTGGCACTATTATATTCAGAGGCCTCATTAGAACAGCTTTTAAACATTTGACCAGTGAGGAGTTAGATGAATTGAGAATGCACTTGCTTAGTATTCAAGAAACAGTGGGATTGGTATTCATGTTTTCCAACCTCTGGACTTCTTTAGTCATAGACACACCCAAGCCTACTTTGGTTACTTTCTCCATGGCATCATGGACCTGTGATAGTAAGGCAGTGTTATCAGGTAGCCAGTGAATTAGCTCAAAAGATATGAGACTTGTTTTGGATGTGAGAGATAGTGGAGCTAAAACATATTTTTTTTCAGGCACCTAATTGGGGGTCTTCTATATCCCCCCCCCAAATATATATATATATATATATATATATATATATATATATATACAGCACTGCCCTTCATTCTTTTTATAAGTCAATGCCATGTCTACTATCTTCTTGGGATAATATGAGATCATAGTACTAGGTAGAGGGGAAATTAGCTCAAATGGCAGAGCACTTGCTTTGTATGTGAGAGATTACGGAATCAATCCCTGTATTCTTCTGTTTCCACTTTCTTCTTTTTTGAATGTGTAGAGCTAGAATCTCCAGGTCATTTCTTTGTTCCTTCCCTTCCTATGAGTGTTATGGGACAGCAACACCATGCAGCTGAGGAATCGGCCCAAGTGGCATGCAAGGAGTAGCAGGATTGATGCTCATACTTGGAACATACTTTAGTCATATGCACAACAAAATGCATGGCATCACAGGTCTCCCTCTCACTTTGGTCAACCACCAGAGGCCAAATAGAACTACTCAATTTTAGGTCTTCTGGCTCTTGAGACTCCAATGTCTTTGACATTAGCCCAAATTACAACCATGGCAACCCAAGAGATATGTGTAATAGAAAAGAATGTTTCAGGGAGGTTAGCAAGCAGCCCCCAATTACTTAAGATAATAATAATAATATATTTATATTCCGCTCTATCTCCCAAAGAGGTCTAAGAGCGGATTACAACATACACAGATAGGCAAACATTCAGTGCCTTTAATACAGTGGAATAACAATGACATACAAATACACAGAACCAAGGTAAAGGCTTCCCCTTTCATCTCTGGCTTTCTGGAGGTAGTGTTCAATGGCCACGGAGAGGTGCTCTTGTTCCATTTCCAAGCCAAGTAGCCTGTTGTCTGTAGGCACTTACAGGTCATGTTGCTGGCATGGCTGGATGGGCACCTTCATTATCTTCCCACCGAAGCAGTACCTATTGATCTATTCACATTTGCAAGTTTTCAACTTGCTAGGTTGGCAGGAGCAAGGGCTAACAGAGCTCACCCCAACCCGCAGCTTCAGACTGCCAACCTTTAGGTCAGCAGATTCAACATTTCAATAGTTTAACCTGTTGCGCCACCGCAACGGGTACTACTAACCTGTATGGTTATGAATCAATTGTTCTAGCTTATTTGTTATTGTAACTTGGTTATCCTAAATATCTCATATAACAATTGCACATGACAGATGACACTTACTTCTTTGAGAAAACTATTGTCATTCTTCTACTTCTGAAGATTTCATTTTTTGTGGATTTTATTAATATATTTTCTTTAGGAATGTCTAGATCTTCCAGCATGACTCTGTGTTCAGTCTCTGTTCTGGCCAGACCCTGTTATTAATCCAATCTGAACTCAACTGACTCAACTGATGAACTCTCCTAATATTCTCTATCACAAGCATTTTCAAACGCCTCCCAGCCAATCACCATTCACCTTCAACATTCCATGTTCTTACTTCCTTTATTGTACGATACCTTATTCCATATAATAAACACTTGGTTACATATTTTTATAGGTGCATCAATACCATGCAGCTGGGGAATTAGCTCAAATGGTAGAGCGCTCGCTTCGCATGCGAGAGGTAATGGGATCGATGCCCATATTCTCCACAATGTTTTCTATTTCCATAGGCATTGATTGAATAATCTTGTGCAAAAAGAAAGTTTGTTTTGTTTCCACATTCAAGTTTTGTACATGATCGATGGTTTAACTAATACATGGGTTCTAGTAACCAGAATTTATGTGTTGAGGGAAGACAATTCATTGTTGTCATCATCTTCTTCTTCATTACCTTGATTATTATGCTATCAGTGTACATTATGCTATCAATGCACATGGTGCTTTACAAGGTAAAACAAAAACGTTAAACAGCTAGCATATAAAAGGAATGAGTAATCTATATATATGAGGCTGCTGATAAGTCTTTGGCTTTACCCAGAAAGAAACAAGATAAGAAGATATAATTTTGCATTTATTCCACATACTCTCCACTGATATCAACACACTTCTTACATCAGTATTCCAAGTTCTGTAAGCCTTGCAAAAAGAAGGATTTCAGTGGTGCCTCAAATCAGTCATCTGTAGCAGCCATGGCATCAGAAATGCTGTGAAATTTGGTACCCTTGAGGTGTTTCTTCATACTGCGCTTCAACTGTAACTGAGTCATCTCTTCACTGATGGGGAAAATGCACCTAATAACACTGTTGTCCCACCAGTATTCCTTGTGCAATAATTTTCCCAATATTGCAAGTGGAGGGAGTCTTTCAAGAATGCTGAAACTGCACAACTTTGACAAAATCAAGGAGAAATAAAGAAAAACAGGGGAGGTGAAATACAGTGTTCATGGAAGGAAAAAATGGGTAGGGAGAAAATTTAGGCGGAAGACTAATTGTGGGAATTTGCATCAACAAAATGTCAGCATTGCACAATTGTGCCAGGGCATGAAAGAGATCATTCAAATAGCAGCATGTTTATGTTTACTTTAGCAAGGCCATTGCAATGAAACAACAGGCTAGAAGGAAAAAGTCTCAAGAAAATTATTTATTTATTTTATTCCCCGCATTTGTGTCCTGCCCTTCTCAACCCCGTAGGGAGCTCAGAGCGGCCTTACAATAGGCAACGATTTGATGCCTTATCAAACAGACAATGGTAAAATAAACATATACATTAAAAACAAACAGTTAAAACATCAATTATTAAAATATAAATCACAATCACACCATCCAAATAAAGATCCAGGGTTGTTTCATTTGTCAGTCACATTAATTTATGGTTACTTATTGCACTGCTCCAATTACTGGTCAAACACGTGGTCCCAAAGCTATGTCTTAAATTTTCTGAAGGTCAGGAGAAAGGGGGCTGATCTGATTTTGTTGGGGAGTTCCATAGATGAGGGGCCACCACTGAGAAGGCCCTGTCTCTCGTCCCCACCAGTCGCTCCTGCAAAGGAGGTGGGACTGAGAGCAGGGCCTCCCCAGATGATCTTAACTTCCGAGATGGCTCATAGAGGAAGATACGATCAGACAGGTAAGCTGGGCTGGTACTATTTAGGGCTTTATAGGCTAAAGCCAGCTCTTTGAATTGTGCTCAGTAGCAGACTGGCAGCCAATGGAGCTGGAGTAATGATGTTGTATGCTTGTATGCTCCCTGAATGCCACTCCTTCTCCCCCTCCCCCCCCCTCGCTCTCCCTTCCACACAAGTTTACACAAGAATACATTCCACCTCACCTTCTCTCCTTTGACATTCCTTAAAAAATTCTCCAGCAGCTGCCACTTGTATTTTTCTCACTGTATGTCAAAGCACGTGCCTTGTTTTGTGAAGATAACTATGGGATTCATTTGTAGCTCTGATTTTTAAGAGACACTTTTCATACTGCTGAATGAATTAAATACGGAATATATTTTGAACTTCAGAATAATTTCCTGCTCTTTTGATGACTAGTCTCACTTTGCTGCTACTGTAGTTTGTTGGCAGCATTAGGAGTAATGAACTGGGCACTTTGTGTGCATGTGTGTGTTCACCTGTTCACGCACACATGCACAATCTTAGGTTGGAGGAAGGGCAGGGGGTATGGATACTTGTAGATTCTAGTATTTTAGCAGCAATATTGTGGAATGGCCTGGTATGAGAGAAGGCCACAGGGGCAACACCATGAAACACCACACTGGGTGACACCAACATTCATGACATCACTGTGTACACTTACGGAATCACCATACAATGTACACTTTTGTGTTAAGAACAGCAAGCAGGTCATCTGGTCTTTAGGTTGTTGTAAGTTTTTTCGGGCTATATGGCCATGTTCTAAAGGCATTTTCACGTGATGTTTCACCTGTATCTATGCCAACAGACCTCAGTACCTCTGAGGATGCTTGCCATAGATGCAGGCGAAACGTCAGGAGAAAATGCCTCTTAGAACATGGCCATATAGCCCGAAAAACCTACAACAACCCAGTGATTCCAGCCACGAAAGCCTTCGACAATACATCATCCATCAGGTGGAGTGGCCATGCTTTATAGTACCTAGTTTTATGCACTATAAAAACAGAGAGAGCAATATTGACTCATGTCTAAGAATCCTTTCCTCCAAAACACTCACAAACATGCCAGGGCTTGGATAGTAGCGATTGCAGAATGAGAGTGTGGATGGGAGTGGATTTTTCTCCTTTAGTCTTGGAATTCTCCTGAACCTTCATTTACATGCAATCTTATAGATGTTCCTTCTTCTCCATCTTTCAAAATTTTGGGTGTGTCTCTGTTCTCACCTGTGTGATCCCGATTGGCTCTTTCCCAATTGCCTTTCTGAGTAAAAGTGATTCCCTCCAAAACCTCCCCTGCTCACAGCTGCTTAGAAAGAGTCCTTGTTCAAGAGCTCCTCAGCTGGGCATCCCGTCTTCATAGCCTTCTTGCCATTTTCTGCAGGAGCATTCCTATCAGACGGTTGCTCTGCTTCCTTGCGAATATTTTCAAGATGAACAAGTTTCTTCTTCTGGGCTTTTCTGTTCTGCTCTTATCCACAGTTGGTAAGTGTCATATTCTAAAAAGTAAGAGTATCTTTTTCCTTGAAAAGTTTTAATGATATATTTCTGCAGAGCAGGGAGGTTTTCTTAAAAGGTAGCAGCCTAAGGTCGACATTTAAATGCTATGAGAAGGAAAGATGTTGGTGTTTACCCATATCTTAGGATTACTGGGTTGTTGTGTGTTTTCCAGGCTGTGTGGCCTTGTTCCAGAAGCATTCTCTCCTGAACTTTCACCTGCATCTATGGCAGACATCCTCACAACCTCTGATGATTCCTGCCATAGATGGAGGCAAAACGTCAGATGAGAATGCTTCTGTGACATGGCCATACAGCTTGGAAAACACACACCCAGTGATTCCGGCCATGAATGCCTTTGGAGAAAACTGCCTGGAAAATACTGACTTGGGAATGTTAAAACTTTGTCCAAGATATTGGGCATCTTTATGCATACATGTTATTGGATAGACCAGATCCAAAAGACTGAGATGAGAAGAAGGGATGGGCATTAACTTGGGTTAATGTAGAATGTTTTTGAATTTGAAAAAGGCACTTGTTTTTTCTTATTCTTAGGAATTTATCTGGTATGTTTAGATAACAAGCAGGTCTCACTTGAAATTCTCTTTGTATAAAAAAGCTAACATTTTTTTCTGGGATCCGAGTGAACATGGCTCCTCTAAAATCTTTTTCTGCCTATAGGTGAAAAGGAAATAATTTACCCATCTAACAAGTGACAATGCACGGTGTTGCAAATTGGTCCAGTTGTTATTTTTGCAAAAGGAATAGGCCTGAGACAGTTTTTCTTTCAAATAAATAGAAGTAAAATAATAATAATAATAATAATAATAATAATAATAATAATAATTTAAGATACTACTGATTTAATGACATCAAAAATGGCTTCCCCGGGGTAATTCCACCACCCTCTTTAACAATGGGGTGTGGCATTGGACAATACTGTAGAGCAAGTACTTTGTATATGTGTGTACAAATTGACCTCCTGTATCAGTTGAGGTGAAGCTGTGGGACCAAAATTATTGATTAAGTGCCAGTTCTACTTCAGGAGCTTAACTACCCCTTGTTACCACTATTTTTCTGCCTATATATATAAAAAAACTCAGAAGCAGTGCCATGGGGAAAACAATAGAAAGCATAGCACTTCCTTTAGGTCAGTAGTTCCCAACCCACTTTGACCATGGACCACTTGAACAGGGACTACTTTGACCAGGACCCACTCTCCAACATTATTATCAAAAGGGTTACAAATCAGTTTTTGGCCAACCTTAGATTCGGTTTGGTTATTTGGGGTGCTGATTCAGAAAATTGCATTGGATGGACCACATCAGCTCTAGTTTCTGATACAGAACATATCCATGCAGTAGTCACCATCTGCTCACCCACAGAAAAAAACCATATTTAATAATCTAGAACTGATGTGGTAGTAATGTTTCGTGGGTAGTCAGCCTCTCCCCTCCTGACCTCCCCTTTGCCTGGCACTATAAAAGGGTTTTGCAAGACCAGTCACTCTCATTGTCACATGAATTCGAGGCAACAGTGTAGTAATGGTGAGGCTGTTGACCATATTTTTGTTCTTGCAGACTGCTGGTGGTCCACGGACCACAAGTTGGGAACCACTGCTTTAGGTTCTCCCAGGATGAACTAACCTCTCATCTTTAGTCACTCTACTTACTCCCTGACCAAACTTTGCATAAAATGACCTCAGAAGCAATTTATTTTATGGTTCGTGCCGTTAAATCCTTCCTTATCCCCGGATCCTCCTCCCGATAATTTATATTGTCCTATCTCCCAGTGTTTTTTTAAAAAAAATATCATTGAGTTTGGCCCTGCCCAGCCTAATCTTCTCTGTTTTAATGTTTGATTTGCTTTTGCTGTTCGCTTATTATATTGGTTTTGCATTTATGTATTTTATTTTCTGGTTTTGTTATGCTTTTGTGTTATATTGTGTAACTGTATTGTTGGGCGTGGCCTCATGTAAGCTGCACCAAGTCCCCCTGGGGGAGATGGAGCGGGTATAAATAAAGATTATTATTATTATTATTATTATTATTATTATTATTATTATTATTCCTTTTTAAAAAATTATGTATAGTATTTGCATTGACTAGTTAATAAATCAATCCAAGTTTTTGGATCAATTTTTGACTTAAATTTCTACACTTTTACATTATTATATATAACACCAAGCTTCTTAAATATAGCTAGGCTACAGGTGTATTTGCAAAGCCTTGGGCTTTCCATTTCATCTCATGTGGTTCAATGAAGTGGATTTGTTCCATAGAATCATAGAGTTGGAAGAGACCTCATGGGCCAACCAGTCCAACCCTCTGCCAAGAAGCAGGAAAATTGCATTCCAAGTACCCCTGACAGGTGGCCATCCAGCTTCTGTTTAAAAGCCTCCAAAGAAGGCGCATTCACCACACTCCGGGGCAGAGAGTTCCACTGCTGAACAGCTCTCACAGTCAGGAAGTTCTTCCTAATGTTCCATGTCCATGAAACTGCATGTTGCAGAAAATAATACAAGAAAGGACGACCTGTATGCACACCTGTCCCAGACCTCGGCTACAACATATTCTAAGGCCACACAAATCGATTCACACAGAAAAAATATAATCTTACATTAATCTTTTCAAATGACAACTCAATTGTTTGCAGTTTGTGGAGCAGATATTGCTGTAGGGCAGTGGTTCTCAACCTGTGGGTCCCCAGGTGTTTTGGCCTACAACTCCCAGAAATCCCAGCCAGTTTACCAGCTGTTAGGATTTCTGGGAGTTGAAGGCCAAAACATCTGGGGACCCACAGGTTGAGAACCACTGCTGTAGGGCATTTAGAGAATTAATGATATGGTATTACATCTTGAACAAATGAAGAAAGTGGGTTAGGCCAGTAATGTGTAGCTTGGTTAATTATTTCTAATTATTTACTCGTGACTTCTAATTTAAAGTCCTCAAGATACTTGGATGCTATGGGTACATTTACAATGTAGAATGAATGCAGCTTAATACCATTTTCACTTCCTTGGTTAGATGCACCCCAAGAATCCAGAAAATCTGCTTTCAGTCCCCGACTTAGCTATAGAAATGAACTGAATGAGTTTCTAGCCACATTTCCTCAATTCTCATTTGAATTTATCTTGCCAAGGAATGCTAAAATGGGGTTACAATAAGAGGCAAAGAATGACAGATATCATTGCTACATTTCTGGAGATCTCTCAGAAAGGAGGCATTTGTCCAGGCTGTTCACAGCTCTACATGTTAAGCACACTGTGGCACCTTATGGACTGCCATATAAAATCCAGATTATCTGCTTTGAACTGGATTATATGGCAGTGTAGACTGATATAATCCAGTTCAAAGCAGATAATGGGGTTATCAATTTTGATAATCTGGATTATATGTCAGTGTAGAAGGGTGCATTTTACATTGCAGAATTAACACAGTTTGATATCATATGAACTCCTAAGGCTCAGTTCTTGGCCAAAGCAAACTAGTGCCTCATCAAACAACAACTCCCAGGATTTCATAATATTGAGTCATGGATGTTCAAGTGGTGTCAAACTGCGTGAATTCTACAGCTCTCAAATTCATTTTACAAGTCATGTTATAACTATATAGGAAAGTGAAGAGCTGAATATATGAAAGGGAAGGGCAAAAGTATTGATGTCTTAATTAAGACTACATCACTAAGTGTTCACTCATGACTGCTTGGTGCCCATCAAGAAGGTCCACTGCAGAGAAGAGAGAATGAGTCATGAGAAAAGATCAAGAACCAGATTAAATACTTGAAACAAGAACGGTTGGTGTTCCAGGCCTTCAAGTTGTTTTCACAGTAATGTAAAGCAAATCTTTCATGGCATATTTTCAGAAAAAGTTTGCAGTTGGGGCTGAGAAAATGTGATTGCCCATGGCAATTGGGGTTGAGAAAATGTGACTTGCCCATGGCCATTGGGGCTAAGAAAATGTGACTTGCTCATGGCAATTGGGGCTGAGAAAATGTGACTTGCCCATGGCAATTGGGGCTAAGAAAATGTGAATTGCCTATGGCAACTGGGGCTGAGAAAACGTGACTTGCCCATGGCCATTGGGGCTAAGAAAATGTGACTTGCCCATGGCAATTGGGGCTGAGAAAATGTGACTTGCTCATGACAATTGGGACTGAGAAAATGTGACTTGCCCAAGGCCAATCAATGGATTTTCTGGAAATTGGAACCATGATCCCCCACAGTCATAGTTCACTTGCAGTTTGACATCACATTAACTGCCATGGCTCAATGCTATGGAATTCTGGACTTTGTAGTTTGGCAAAGTACCAACAGTCTCGTCGAGAAGGCTGAAGATTTTATAAATCTACAATGCCCATAAATCCATAATGTTGAGACATGGCAGTAAATTTGGTGCCAAACTGAATTAATTCTGCACTGTAGATGCACCCTATCCCAATTTATCTCCTGTTTTTGCATTTCTCCTTTGCCAGAGCACACTTCAATTCCTGTAAATTTAGGTGCCATCTACACTGCCATACAATCCAGTTTCTGCTTTGGATTGTATTTGGCAGTGTAGATCCAGCCTACGATTTAGGTACCAAAGTATCTAATTCATGGGGAGGTGAGGGAGAAGACAGCAAAATATCGCTCTTCCACGTGGATTCAGGCAAAAGCAAATGGATTGTAAGTGTACTTTTTCTCATTCATAACCTTAGCCCACTTGACCAAAATATGATATTACTTGTCCACCCACATCCATGCAAAAATGTTAGAGGATGTGGAAAATGTTTCACCATCTATGAATTATTCCATATTATTTTCATTTGTTTTCGGGAGGAGAAGTGAGCCTGTCAACACTTTTAGCCATTGGCCTAAACATTTAATAATGGGGCAATTATTAAAGGTTCACCCTTAGAAATGAGAGGGAATGATTCTTCCTAGCTTTGTTTTTGTTTTCCTGTTAATCTTGCCTTGACAAGAAATGGACTCTGACAAGTCTTGTTGGCAGGTTCTTCCTAACTTGTCAAAACACCTCTCCTGGAGGTATTTTGGGCATGATTCCAGCTCACTGCCATTTCCCAGGAAAGGAATTTCTTTGTTATCAAAGAAAAAAATCAGTGTTTTACTTCCTGAGGGTGCAAATACACCTTATGTTTCCACATTTCCGAATCTCATACAGAAACAAAATATGCTCCAAGCCATGTATATGTTTTAAAGCAGGGGTCCTCAAACTAAGGCCCGGGGGCCAGATACGGCCCTCCAAGGTCATTTACCCAGCCCTCACTCAAGGTCAACCTAAGTCTGAAACAACTTGAAAGCACAAACAACAACAACAAGAACAATCCTATCTCATCAGCCAAAAGCAGGCCTGCACTTCCAATTGAAATACTAATAAGTTTATATTTGTTTAAATTGTTCTTCATTTTAATTATTGTACTGTTTTATGTGTTTTTGCATTACAAATAAGATATGTGCAGTGTGCATAGGAATTCAATTATGTTTTTTTCAAATTATAATCCGGCCCTCCAACAGTTTGAGGGACTGTGACCTGGCCCTCTGTTTAAAAAAATTTGAGGACCTCTGTTTTAAAGAGTGAAACTGCATGCATTTCATACCTGGCCATTTTGGAAAATGGAAATCCAGACCCTTTTGGAAAAATCAGGAATCTTTTGGAAAGGCATGACCTTGTTAGATATCATAACCTCTTGTAAAGTATGATCATTTTGAGAAGAGTTAAAAACTCGCTTGAGTCAACCTTCTCCTTAGTGGTAAATATCCACAAGTATTCATGCAAGGCAATTACGTTCCTCCGCTGTTAGACTGATATACCTAGATATCTCTTTGAACTGTTAGGAACAAAGATATGCCAATGCACAAAGAAACATGAAGTGTTCAGTTGCCCAAAAACATCTACTCTCCCTTAAAACATCTTGGTTTAAATCATGCTCTCAAGAGACTAAAAATAAGTAGTCTTCATTAACATAACATAGTTGGTTTACTCACAAACTTCATGTATTCCACATACAGGTACATTGCATATCAGTCCAGTTACAGATAGGATTTGAAGTAGTTTCTCTGTGCAGATAACACAGGGCACCATTCTTAGAATCTGAACAGTCCGAAGTCTAAATCATCTCTCTGTTCTGAGAGTCTAATAGAGTCTGTGCAGTCCGTTTCTACTGATTTCTAAAAACATACTGTTTCTAAAATAGAGCCTGAGATCTGAAGAGTCCCAGGTCTGATCACATGGTCTGCAGTCCCTCCCACAACATAGCATTAAGGCAAATTTCATGCCAATACACACATATATAATACAGTAAGCAATCTGAATTATATACTTCACAAATAACTAGTGGAGGCTTGAAGAGTATTACTATTTCCAACAGGTCACATTTGTCCTTAGGAAAATTGCATACAAACTGTGCCTGCCAAGGTTTTTTTTGTCATGTCAGGAGCAACCTGAGAAACTGCAAGTCGCTTCTGGTGTGAGAGAATTGGCCGTCTGCAAGGACATTGCCCAGGGGACACCCAGATGATTTTTGATGTTTTATCATCCTTGTGGGAGGCTTCTCTCATGTCCCCGCATGAGGAGCTGGAGCTGATAGAGGGAGCTCATCCGCCTCTCCCCGGATTCGAACCTGCAACCTGTCGGTCTTAAGTCCTGCCAGGATAAAAATGTATAACAAACATAAACAAATATTTCTATAATAACAACAAAGATGTTCACAGCCTAACATCAACAACATCAACCACCATGTCAGACTACACAGAGAAGCCATTGAAACACAAGCATGTGGACAATTTCAACAGAAAGGAGGAAACCATGAAAATGAACAAAATCTGGCTACCAGTATTTTAAAAACTCTAAAATTACAACAGCACAACAACAGAGAGGAAACAAACAAGGACATCTAATCACCTCTCAACAAAAGTTTGCTCCAGGCACTGTCAGGCCATTATATGCTAATCAAGGTGGTCAGTTGAAACATTCACACCTAGCTCCAGCAGACAAGAGTCCTTTGTCCCACCCTGGTCATTCCACAGATATATAAACCCCTTTTTCCTAGTTCCAACAGACCTCACTACCTCTGAGGATGCTTGCCATAGGTGCAGGCGAAACGTCAGGAGAGAATGCCTTTAGAACATGGCCATATAGCCCGAAAAAAACTACAACAACCCAGACGTGAGAAGAATGCAGATTTCAGTGTCACTCGTAAGCCAAATCTTTTCATTCATGGTCCTCTTCACCATCAGGCATGACACCACCCCAGCAACTCTTCTGCTTCTTACAAGCTCATCTTTAAAAACAAGAGTGCCAAGGAACAATCCTAACAAATTCCACTTGTGACCATTAAAAAGAAAACCTCATTTGGCCACAAGATGGCAGAGCAGAGTGGTTTTTAAGGCTGGATCTACATTGCCATATAATCCAGTTACTGAATCCAGATTATCTGCTTTTAACTGGATTATATTTGTGTATGCTACTATATAAGCAGGTAATATGGATTCAGAAACTTGATTATATGGCAGTGCAGATGGGGCCTGAGAAGCAAGCAGCCACTGTCATGTCCTTCAAATAACATGGATTACTTGTTTTGGGGGGTTTTGGACCTCAATAAATATTTTATTTTTTCTCTTTTTCTTTTCCAGCACAAGGTCTGGTTTGCAAAGTATGCAAATTCAAATTTGCCGGTGTCTGCCTCAATTCTGATGAGCCCTGTCAAGCTGGACACGGCGAGTTCTGTGAGACAACCAAAGTTTTCTCAGGTAAAATGGGATTATACTGGTCTGGGGGCTTCTTGATTGTGCCATTGTGGGTGATAACCCAGAAGGGAAAGGATATGCATGCATCCAGCCCTTGGCCAAGCTCCTTCTCCCATTGTTGGCCATAGGCATTGCTCTCATGGGGAGTTGACCACTCGCCTTGCATACTTTTCCTCCAGTCACCAAATTTCTAGCATTCCAGCCATTTCAACTTCAGCAGAGCATTTGGGAATACAGCTAAGGCATCCCAAAAGATGGGGCAATCAAAACCATTGGCCAAAACACATTTTGGTGCCTCAAATGTTAGCCCTGTTTCTGGGTATATTTGACCATCTGATTAAAAAAATGGGACCAGTTTTCCACTATCCACTTTAAATTTTTGAGATGCAGTATATGTGCCATCTACCAGTCGTCATCTGTTCATGTTCACCCTTTGAAAATCATGATAACCATATCTAAGAAAATAGAATGAATCTGTTCTATCCAATGCATTTTTCTGAATTGGTGCCCCAAATACCTCCAGGAACAGGCCTAAAAACCTAGACATTGAGAAAACAGTATATTTTATTGGGCTTTATATGATCCAAAGAATGAGAACACATATGAGTCCTAGGTACATTGACTCCCAAAGAAGTTTTCTGCTCCTCAAATGAAATTTTCCAACTACTGTACGATTGCTATACCAGTAAGACCAATACTCACAGTTTCACCTACCTGTATACAACAAAATATGTCATCTCTAGAAATTTTCTGTGTTGTACTGGCTATCCTATGGTATGCCTCTACTGGAAATTACCATAATGTCATGTTGCAGGACCTAGACAGAATATCTCTCTAAGACTTTTCTAGGTCCTCCATGGTGATTCTGTGGTAACATCTGCCATAAATCATTAATTTCAATAAGGTTTGATATTACCAATGATTTCCTATTTCCATAGTATCCCACATACATACGGCTGTTGTACTGTATTCCTATTTTCTAGTACTGCAGAGAGTTTGACAACTACTGTTTACTAGAATGAATCTGAAGTCATCTGCATTATTTGCTAACTATGGGAATGCATGCAAAAATTCTTCTCGATCTCAGGTCAGCATATGCTATTGCCCTCATGTTTCTCACAGAAGTAGAAACCATGCAATGCTGCACTTCTGTTGTTGCACTGCTCCTCCTGGCATTCTCGCCATTGGGTGTGTGAACCACTGTTTCTGTGAGCTGCAGTTCAGCAATAGCTGGAAAGCCAAAGCATTCCCACCCAGTTCATCATGTTCTATACATAGACCTAACTTCTGCCTTAAGCATTATATTGTACTACTCCTGTGGTCTAAAGTATCTAAGTGGGGAGGACATATGAATCATAGAATCAAAGAGTTGGAAGAGACCTCATGGGCCTTCCAGTCCAACCCCCTGCCAAGAAGCAGGAATATTGCATTCAAATCACCCCTGACAGATGGCCATCCAGCCTCTGTTTAAAAGCTTCCAAAGAAGGAGCCTCCACCACACTCCGGGGCAGAGAGTTCCACTGCTGAACGGCTCTCACAGTCAGGAAGTTCTTCCTCATGTTCAGATGGAATCTCCTTTCTTGTAGTTTGAAGCCATTGTTCCGCATCCTAATCTCCATGGAAGCAGTAAACAAGCTTGCTCCTTCCTCCCTGTGGCTTCCTCTCACATATTTATACATGGCTATCATATCTCCTCTCAGCCTTCTCTTCTTCAGGCTAAACATGCCCAGCTCCTTAAGCCACTCCTCATAGGGCTTGTTCTCCAGACCCTTGATCATTTTAGTCGCCCTCCTCTGGACACATTCCAGCTTGTCAATATCTCTCTTGAATTGTGGTGCCCAGAATTGGACACAATATTCCAGGTGTGGTCTAACCAAAGCAGAATAGAGGGGTAGCATGACTTCCCTAGATCTAGACACTACGCTCCTATTGATGCAGGCCAAAATCCCATTGGCTTTTTTTGCTGCCACATCACATTGTTGGCTCATGTTTAACTTGTTGTCCATGAGGACTCCAAGATCTTTTTCACACATACTGCTCTCGAGCCAGGCATTGTCCCCCATTTTGTGTCTTTGATATGAGTCTCCAATGTTGTTGGACAACAGCTCAAAGAAGTCCCTTGTTATATATACCCAGTCCCTAGGTCACTAGATAGTACTTTGTTTTTGCACTTCATCCACTTCCCTGTCCCTATAGTACAGTATGTGAACTAACCCTTGCCCAGCCCATTTTTAATGTGGTCATGCCTACCTTACAAATCTCGTCATTGGTTTTGTTGAACGTGATCTGATGGAGCTCCAATGCAATCTGTTTTATTCTGTTATGTTTAGTGTGTTTTATCTTGGCTGTTGTATTTTATGATGCTCCTATTTTAATGTGTTTTATTTTATGGATTTTTTTTATTTATTTTTTTGCTTTTATGTCTTGTGGACTTTTTGTCCCATATGGAAGCTGCCCCAAGTCCCTTCTGGATGATGGTGATCCCTTCAGGGAGATGGTGGTAGGGTATAAGAATAAAGTTATATCATCATCATCATCTAACATTGCCATAGTCAAGAATCATGGAAGTTGCAATACAGCAACATCTGGAGGGCCACATTATTTCCATTCACTTGTAGGAAATAATATGTTGCATTCTGGGCTCTTTTCACATTACGGAATTACAGCAGTGTAATTCCACTTTAACTAATATGGGTCCATTCTATGGAATCCTGAGGGGCGCTGTCTGGAGAGGCAATATTGTTATCTGACTGAGACGCAGGCCTGTAGCCAGGATTTTGATTCGGGGAGTGCTGAGTTTGATTCGGGGCGGGGAGGGGGGCTGAGTTTGATTCAAAGGGGCGGGGGCTGAGGATCTACCCTAGCAAACCTTTTGTATCATTATCCCAATAGCCCCGTGCATGCATATGGGATATATTGAGCATGGTGATCAGATCATGATATGAATAAACATAACAGTTTAAATAATGTACCAGTAAGGCCTTCTCGCAGACCACCCTGAAAATTTCGGGGGGGGGGGGGCGGGGCTGAAGAGGAAACTTTACCTATCCAGTATGTTTGAACATTGTTTGATGGCAGCAATGGAGACAAGACTTTTTCAGTATCTGCTCCCAGACATTGAAAGCCTCTCCCTAAAGGAGGTATGGGCAAACTTTGGCCCTCCAGATGTTTAGGACTTAAGCGGCTGAGGAGGAAAAGGAAAAGCTTGAGGCTGTTAGGAATTATGGGAGTTGAAGTCCAAAACACCTGGATGGCCAAAGTTTGCCCATGCCTGCCCTAGAAAGTCCTGGCTGACCATACCCCTTCTTTGCCATTAGGCATTTTATAAGCTGACGAGGATTTGGCTATATTGGTTTATTTATCATATCAGGAGCAAACCAAGGATACAGTTGCAATGCGTTTTTTAAAGAGTTTCAAAAACTTTGCATTATACTAAATGTCCTTTGAACATAGCTGGCCACTTGTATTGCCTCTGGTGTTGCTGTAAGAAGGTCTTCCTTTATGCATGTGGCAGGGCTCAGACTGCATTGTAGTAGGTAGTCTGTGGTTTGCTCTTCTCCACACTCACATGTCGTGGACTCCACTTTGTGGCCCCATTTCTTAAGGTTGGCTCTGCATCTCATGGTGCCAGAGTGCAGTCTGTTCAACACCTTCCAAGTTGCCCAGGAGGGAGTCTCTCATTTGGTATCAGCCATGGATTGAGGTTCCGGTTTTTATCCTGCCACTTTTGGACTCTCGCTTGCTGAGGTGTTCCTGGAGTATCTGTATAGATCTTAAGAAACTATTTCTTGATTTAAGGCATTGGCATGCTATTAAATGATTATTATTTTCATTATTATTATGTTTATTATACCCTGCTTTTTCTCTCTACAACAGAACCAATGCAATACTATTTAAAACCCAATGCAGTACAGTTTAAAACCTAAAAATATACAAATAGGATTAAATATTAATGGTGTTAAAAACAAACAGTTAAATCCTTAAAAATGCCAGTGGGATTGGGATTTTAAAGTGGGTATAAATTTCAATACATTTTAACATTTAATGATTTTAATTTCATAGATGTTTTTAAAAGATAATTATATTTCAGTACATTTGTATTTTATTTAGTGTTGGGTATTTATTGTTACCTGCCTTGCATCCCAATTTTGGGAGAAAGGCAGGAAATAAATGAATCAATATTGTGCTTTGTGCCATTGGAACACATGCCCTACCACAAGTTGTCCACCTCTGACTGCTATTCATCCTGCAGCAATGAGCGAAACAGGCTCCGAATACATGGATTGTCAGCAAGAAACCACTTGTCATATAAATTTTGAAGAGGGGAATGGGTATTATGGACTAGGAATTGACGTCTCATGTTTCTGTTTTTCCTTTTTTGTTTTCTCACCCAGGCAGAGTAAGGCTCTTCACAAAATATGGCTGCACCAAAGGCACAGAGCTTTGCAACAAGACTGAGCAGAGGGAAAACATTTTCGACACGAGCTACAACCGCACCTGCTGTGACACTGACTTATGCAATGGGGGAGTTGTTGGCAACCCTAGCTTCCCACTCTTAGCTGGCCTCAGCATGGCGTTGGGCTGGTGGGTAGCCCATTAACACTGGCACAAAGGCCCTTTTCATAAGAAGAGGCAAAACACAAACCTTTTCCTTCTTACCCTTTTGACCTAAGCTGGGCAAGGTATGGCCTACAAGCTGTAGATGTGACATGACTATCAACATAGGCCAGTGTTTATCAAACTGTGCTCCTCCAGGTATTTTGGACTTCAGCTCCCAGAAATCCCAACCAGCTTACCAACTGTTAGGAATTATTGGTGGTGAAGTCCAAAACATCTGGAGCAACACAGTTTGAGAAACTCTGACATAGGCTATCGCTTGTAGCTGAGTATGATTGAGTCATGAACTCCCTTTTCAATTTACTGACTCACCTGCCCAACTGGTTGCTGCCCCAAGTCATATCAGTAATATTGCTATCACAACTGTTCCAAAGTGAGTTTCCCTTCCCCTTTCCTCTTCCCTTCCACCCTGTAAAATCCACCTCATCTGGTCTTACAGGGCCCTATATAGGAAAACATTGCCACTTCCTCCATAATTCACTTAGTTCCTTATCACACTTTTCCATTACCACTTTATTATTATTCCAACCTCCTATGGAATCCCAGGATTTGCAGTTTAGGGATGGGACAGCTGGAATTTTTAGCCAGAGAGCTTTTGGGCCTCATTTAAATTACACACCCCATAATTATGGGACAGTTTACAGTGGAGTAACAGTGCTATTACACTGCAGTGTGGTAACACTTTTTTAATCAAATGGAACAAATCTCCAGTTTTCCCTGGCTATTTTGGGCTAGCACTTGTAGGTCCCTATGCAGAATATATGACTGGTGTCTGGCATGGCTATGAGTCATTAATGCTTCCTATAGATTTGCATGCTTGCGATTTTTGATTTGCCTTGTCCTTTTACTCGCTGTCATTCACAAATGAACCACTTTTTGAAAAACCAGGTAGCATTGTCTTAAGTTCTGCTGCTACAGCCTCCTCTATTTCATTAATAATAATAAAACCAATAAGAAAAAGATGCTTCTGTCAGCCTGTGTCTTTATTAAATCTACAATTACAACCAAACTGCAGAGGGACCTCTGTTATACCAAAGCTTTAGAACAGTGGTTCCCAACCTGTGGTCCATGGATCACCAGTGGTCCCCAAGAACTAAAATATGGTCCGCGACCTCACCGTTACTACACCGTTGTAATGAGAGTGACTGGTCTCATGAAACCCTCTTATAATGCCGAGGCAAGCGGGATTTTGGGAGGGGAGAGGCTGACTACCCATGAAAGGTGCAACAACAAGCTGTCTGACTACTGCTTCTGCTCCTCCTCCCTCCCCTGAGTGGAGCTGTTCCATGTGGTGCTTGGAAGTGGGGGTGCCTTGGTATCTTCATTTTTAGGCCTGTTCCTGGGATTATTTGGGGTACTGATTCAGAAAATTGCATTGGGTAGACCACATCAGCTCTAGATTACTAAATATGGTTTTCTGTGGGCAAGCAAATGGGGACTACTGGATGGCATAGGTTCTGTATCAGAAGCTAGAGCTGATGTGGTCTATCTAATGCAATTTTCTGAATCAGCACCCCAAATAACCAAACTGATTCTAAGATTTACCAAAAACTGATTTGTAACCCTTTTGGTACTGATATTGGAGAGTGGTCCCTGGTCAATAAAAGGCCAGAAATCACTGCTTTAAGCGATACGCAGCATGATCACACCCTGAGACTCTGGTGATAATCCGTTGTTAAGAGAGCACTAGAAAGCTACATATTTTCCAGAGGCACCTGGCTAGAATATCTGGGAATAGCATTATGGACACCGTAGGATAGAGCATTATTTGTTGTTGTTGTTGTTGTTGTTTTTGAAACACAACAAGATGAGTCGACAGCAAACAAGATCATTCTGCTGGCTGTCGTATTGGATCACACATCGGACACTTCCCAAGTGTCTAGGACTGTGTGATGTATCAGCGAATAATACGTGCAGATCCCAGTAAGGTGGCCTTTTGCAGCTGCAGATGGTAATTTTGTCAACACCGATTGTGTTTAAGTGCAGGTCAAGGTTTTTAGGCACTGCACCCAGTGTGCCCATCATCACTGGGACCACCTTGACTGGCTTGTGCCAGAGTCTTTGCAGTTTGTGAGCCACATCCATGTTTTTTCTTTGTCAATTTGGCTGTCAATTTTCCCCAGAAACAGTCCACAGAGAGCCTTCTTTTGCCATTATTATTATTATTATTATTATTATTATTATTATTATTATTATTATTGTATTTTTATTAATTTATATTTATTATACATTATTTTATTAATTTATACTTATTATTAATAAATAATAACAATAATAATTTTCCCATGCCAAAAGATCTCAGCTGGCATTTGAAAACAATAAACATTGACAAAATCACGATCTGTCAACTACAAAAGGTCACCTTACTTGGATCTGCATGCATCATTCAAAAATACATCACACAGTCCTAAATGCTTAGGAAGCATTCGCCTTGTGAAATTCATTGTCATAGATCTTTGCTTGTTTCATACTATTAAGTGGCAGGTGTTCGGTGCAAGGCTGACGGATCCACTCTTTCAATACATGATCAAGATATTCATTTTTACCTTTATGCAGTGTTTATCTACTTTTCATTAACTTTTCTTCGCCTTGGGAAGTGTTTGCCTTACAAAATACAGCATATATATCTCATTTGCTGTGTCATATTGTGTTTTTGCATCAGTGAAATAATAATTGATTTGTATTCTGCCTTCTGACTGTGATAAGGCCATGTATGATGGCACACCAGGAAGATCTATGAGAAACTAAATGTGTCTGGCTATTTTCCCAGTGACCATCAATAAGTCCTAAATTACTTTAATGCCCCCAAAAATGATACTCTACAGACAAGACTAAATTAACCAATTAAGTTTACTAAACAATCAAGATGAATTACAACAAGGTACAGTTTGATTCTTGAAGGTAAAGAATTAGAATAATAAGGAACAGGTATAAGGTATAGATCTGAGGTAACAACAACTATAATTTCTATAGACTTTAAGGCATGTATAACTATTCTATGAACTCTGGGCATGTATATCTATGTTCTATTGCATGTATAAATCTATAATCTATGGGGCATGTATATCTATGTTCTATTGCAAGTATAAATCTATAATCTATGGGGCATGTATGTACTAAGGGTAGCCTGTTCGGACTGCTAGGCCAGACCAGACACTCTCTGGCTAACTAACTGCAAGCTAAGACCAAAAAGGAAGCAATAAAAGGTTCTTTCACCAGCCCATTCTGACTCTGAGTCATAATGGGCTGCACCAACTGAGCTCGACCTCTAGGGGGAACCTAAGCTTCTCCCCTAAACTTAGCAAAATGGAACAGTCCAAAGCAAACAGGGAAATAAATACTAGGCCGAGACATCACACCATGGCAAGAGAGAATTGACAAGAAGAATTCAACAAAGTGATGTTCCAGAACCGACTGAAAGGGGATGAAGTTATTTTATTGGAGGAAAGAGTCACAGTTACTTCTAGAGAGTGCTTCAAAAGCCTTTGGACAGTAATTTCCCCAGTTTAATGCCAACCTTTTTTTCAATCATTTCTTCAATGGAAAAAAGTAATGGAGAATGAATGCATCAAGGGATGCAGAGAATTGCGTTCTTGGTTGAGCAATGTGTAATGTCAATAGATTGCTTTCCAATATAGTAACAATTTACAGGACTGAGTTACTTTCTAATAGTAACTTTTCAAGTTTTAAAACATCAATGTTGGAAAAGGTGAAATAGATAGATTGCCCCACGTCTAGCATGAGGTCAACCTTTGGCAGTTTTCTATTATCTGTTAATCCCAACTACGAGGCAGGGGTGGGAGTTCTCCATTACACTTGTCTTTGTTACAACAAATTTCGATGTGTGTATATTTCTCATTCTTTTCAGTACGGTTGCAATACCAGGTCCAAAAGTTATCATTGACACAATCATAATTCATGAAATAGGGCTCATCATCTGTGAGGAAAAAGAGAAAGAATGAAAATTGGAGATTGGCCTATAGAACAAAGAAGTCAAGTTCATCTTTCCCAGTGAAAACATGCATTTTTTTCATACGGAAATGAAGAGTATCTCAACTCCGAAATACATGCCCTTTTTCCAGGGCTTAGGACGCCATTTGGTAAATAAGAGATTATACAACAGGAAAACATTTGAAAAATATAAACAGTAGGGAAGACATTGTGAAAAAGAATCTTGTTGCATTTTAGAAACAAGCTAAGTGGCCTACGCTTTCATAGACAAGGCTAGTTAATCTGGGATCAGTCTGGAGCAGACCGATGGTGGGCCACATGTGCCATCCTGAACCTGTAGTCGGGGTGGGTCAGAATCAAATCACAACCTCATCACACTCACCTAAAAAAGTGTCCTAGGATGCTTTCACCCTGGCTTCTGGACAGAACCCCACTCCAGACATCTCTCAATGTTGTGTAACTTTCAGCAGAGGCCCTACCCCCAACCGGGGTGAAAGCATTGTTGGAGGTTTCCTCCACAACATGGGAAGCTTCCTGTGTTGCACTGGATCCAATGGAGCCTGCACAGGTCATCCGTGGTAGGGCGATGCTTAGCCCGTGTGATGGGGAAAGCATTGCCAAGAGGGAGCTATGTGCAGGGTGACAGATTCTCACTGCTGCCCTCCTCTTTTCTGATGAAGCACGATACTTTTCCTAGACTTTGTGATGAGGCCTTTAGTCCAGTCTGTCCAAAACAGTCAACTTATCTTCTGTGTCCCTGCTTCCCGATGGCCATAGAGCAGTGTTTCTCAACCTTCCTAATGCCGTGACTCTCATGTTGTGGTGACCCCCAACCAAAACATTATTTTCATTGCTACTTCATAACTGTCATTTTGCTACTGTTATGAATTGTAATGTAAATATCTGATATACCGAACATGCCCAAATTTGAATACTGGTGGGTTGGGGGGATGGGGGTTGATTAGAGAATCTTAGAATCATAGAATCAAAGAGTTGGAAGAGACCTCATGGGCCATCCAGTCCAACCACCTGCCAAGAAGCAGGAACATTGCATTCAAATCACCCCTGACAGATGGCCATCCAGCCTCTGTTTAAAAGCTTCCAAAGAAGGAGCCTCCACCACACTCCGGGGCAGAGAGTTCCACTGCTGAACGGCTCTCACAGTCAGGAAGTTCTTCCTCATGTTCAGATGGAATCTCCTCTCTTGTAGTTTGAAGCCATTGTTTTGCGTCCTAGTCTCCAGGGAAGCAGAAAACAAGCTTGCCCCCTCCTCCCTGTGGCTTCCTCTCACATATTTATACATGGCTATCATATCTCCTCTCAGCCTTCTCTTCTTCAGGCTAAACATGCCCAGCTCCTTAAGCCGCTCCTCATAGGGCTTGTTCTCCAGACCCTTGATCATTTTAGTCGCCCTCCTCTGGACACAGTCCAGCTTTGTCAATATCTCTCTTGAATTGTGGTGCCCAGAATTGGACACAATAGTCCAGGTGTGGTCTAACCAAAGCAGAATAGAGGGGTAGCATTACTTCTCTAGATCTAGACACTATGCTCCTATTGATGATTATGTCATTTGGAAGTTGTAGTTGCTGGGATTTATAGTTAACCTACAATCAAAGAGCATTCTGAACTCAACCAATGTTGGAAATGAACCAAACTTGGCACACAGAACCAGCATGGCCAACA